GGGGGTTATTGTTGTGAGTCGAAGGAACGCCCGAGAGTCAACGGCTGACAGTTTGACTTCGGTTTGACCGACGGCGGCGCGTTTTGGCCACCATTGCGGAACCCTCACGCGATGGAAGATAACAAGGCCCTCTCCTGGGAGTTGAGTCAGTCCCCTTCTTGTCTCTCGAGAGTCTGAAACCCCTTACCTCCTGCCCTTCTTAATCTAAGTCTAATCCTTGTTCAGAGAGGAAGGCAGCAGGCGGGATTGCAACCTGTAGGACCGCGGCAAGACTCTGTGGGAAGTCTGCCCACCAATTGCGGGAGCTCTGCCGGAACCTAGGCGAGGTTCTGGAGGGAGGGAACAGTCAGGTATATCTTTTTCTATCTGTATGACCCCACTATACCCTTGTTCGACTATCTTCCTCTAGTTTGACTGTTTTGGGCATCTGTTCCCTTATGATTTTGCTTTCTTTCAGGATTTAATCAAACTAAATGGAATGAATGCGTGCGTGAAGTTTAAGTTTCTCTTTATTTTGACTGAAAGCAGACTGAAGGGTGAACTGGGGGAAGGTGGGAAGAAGGCAATTTGCATGCGTTTGACCGGGTCAACCAAGGATTGAGCATTGTTTCTAAGCTGAATGGCCCAGGGCTATGTTTATTTGACTGTTTTCTGAAGGACCAGACATTGTTTCTAAGATGCATGGCTTGGTTGTTGTGTTTAATTCTGAGGGTTTGCCTGACTGAGTTTGGGACCAAGCATTGTTTCTAAATGAATGGATTGGTTTGTCTGTTTTTTTTTGGGTTTTCTGACTGAAGTGGGACTAAAGAATCCAACTTCATGCTTTTAATGATTTGAGGATAGGCTGAACATTCTTTCTAAGCTGAATGGTTCATTCTTTTGTTTATTTTTTAGGGAGGATTTCTGGTCTAAGGCTAAGCATTGTTTCTAAGTTGAATGGTTTAGCCTGAAAACCACGCACATAAGTATAAACTGAGTATAAACAGGAAATACTTCATCTATACTTGCATGTGAACCGACAGTTTGACATTGTTTCTAAGCTGAATGGTATCACTAAGAAGAGAAGGGAAAGTACTGAGTATAATGGGAAATAATATGGGCAAGCTAAGCATTGTTTCTAAGCTGAATGGCTCAGTCCCCTGCCTATATTTTCATTTCTTTTGAAAACAAAGTCAGAAAATTATTAAACTTTGGATATGGAACAGTTCAGGGCGACTAGACATTGTTTCTAAGCTGAATGGTCTAGCCATATGCCCAAAGAAGAGAAAAGTAGTTGTGCAACTTGTTCGTGTATATCCTAAATGCATGCTAAACATTGTTTCTAACCTGAATGGTCTAGCACCATGCCATATGTAAATTGGGTACACGTGATAAATAGTCTGAAAGATTCATGAACTACCTATGAGGATTTTAACTTGGGGATGGTGAGAGAACTTACTCCTTGTGATTGGCGTTGCATGTGGCTAAGTGAGATCACCACCTAGTCTGAGTTTCAGTTTGATAGGTAGTTGTTTTAGTTGCTCGCCACGTGCTAGAGCTATAGAAGTTAGTTTCAATTCCTGCATTTTCTGAGCTAACTTGTTTTACTTAGGTCAATTATTGCATTTTCTGGGATCATTTCTTATACTTGGCTCTGTATAAATCTTGGTAAGTTACTTTCTCTACAGGAAGCGTTGCCGAAATTTCTGCAAATCTAAGGAGTTAGTTAAAATTTGACTTTTCAAAGTCCTACTTGTCTAAATTTTATATATGGCTTAGTAAAAATCTGGGAAGTTTCCTTTTTTAAACGGAGTGCTGCCCAAATTTTTGGTAATTCAAGGAGTTAGAAAAAATTGAACCTTGAGAAGTCAAAGTCACTTTAAATTCTAAACTTAGCTTTGTATAAATCTTGGATTAACACTTTTCTAAAGGGAGTGCTGCTGAAATTTTTACAAATCTAAGGGGTTAGTTAAATTTTGTCTTAGTTGAACTCAAGTTTGCTTTTTGAGTTCAAATCAGACTTAGTATAAATCTGAGAAGTCTCGTTTTCTGAAGGGAGTGCTGCCCATTTTTTCACTAATTCAGGGAGGTAGACAAAATTTGACTTTCCAGAGCTAGAGATTATTTATATTTTCATATTCGGGTTAAGTATAAATTCTTAGAAGGCACCTTTCCTACGGGAAGCGCTACCGAAATTTTCTTAGTTGAAAGGAGATAGGTTATATTTTGACAAGTGGCAATTCTGGCAATCCACTTTGTATAGAGGAGATTCTGCCAAAGGCCTACCTTGCGTTGGGCATTGACTTAGAGGTAGGCCCAGGCTTAGCTTGTAGAAGGACCTTGGGTAAGAATGTGCTGTAGAGCTTTATTTTTCATACACTTGGGTATTGATCTGTATTATGTTACAGACCCTCTTGATCGTTTAATTCAAGATTTGGACTAAAGAACCGTCATGTGCACTTGATTTCAGATATGCTACAAAGCCAAGTAAGAATTGCACTTAATCGACTAAAACGAATGATAGCTGAAGTAATGCGGGGAATAAATAAAAGAAAAAATTTACCAAACCCTCAAAGCCAAGTAACCCCTAAACCATTAGTAGCTACTTTTCAAGAATTTTTTGGATCTCATCCTCTTTGTCAGTTTATGGATCAAACTAACCCTCCGACAGCAGCTTGATCCCAAAAGGATCATCTTCTGTTATCACTGATAATAGGTTGGTTGCCAATTCGTCGGTCTACGACTCAACTCCAATTTATCACTTAATCGACTAAAATGTTTTAACCCTGGTGGGTTTTATTGTTTTATTAAAGGTTTCACCCAACCTTTTATTTGAATGGTCATTTAACAAAAGTATTGAGTATTTAATTATGGGAGGTTGGACAAAGGTTGTGGCTTGCATGGCTAAAGCGAGGGGTATGGGTATAAAGAATGGTTGAAGTTGACTCCAGGTAGTGTGTGGATTTCTGGTTGACTCTTTAATGTGCTTGCAAGTATGTTCTGTGATTCGAACCTTAGATTTGACTGCATGCGATCACATACATATATAATGAGGAGTCCCACTGTGATTGTGAGAAGTGATCGTCACATACCTATCCCCCAATATATATATATATATATATTGTATATATCGTCAAATATACACATACCTATGTTTGGGTGTTCGCGTGGCCTAACGGCTCACGCTTAAGGGTTAAGTGGGGTCGAAATTGAGAAAGGAAGGGATACCCCCTTTAATTGTTATATGCTTCTTAAAAGGATTTCTGTCGGACGTTGGTCCTGGGCCTGGATTCGAGGTCCTTGTCCAGGACATCCCAGGTCCTAGACTCTGCATGGAAGGGATCACCCCCCGTGCAAAGCCTATTTGCCCTGCCCATCGGGACACTCAGCCTAAAGGCCGAAAGTGTCGTGGGGCCCGCACGGTTATTCCTTCAGCAGTGCAATATCGTGAAGAGGTTGACCTTCACGATACTTTGAGTTTGACACCTGAGTGTCATAAGCGGTACTTGGATCCACGAAGGACCGTTTGGTTATGGGCACTGCATAGTACGCCACCATTGCGACTGCCTGCGTATTCATGCATTGCTAGTCGATATGGGAAGGCCCTGCGTCCGCGCGGTTTTATATTAAGTCTCGCGCGCGTCGCTTATCCGATTCCCGCATCGGAAAGTTATGGGATGACTACTGAAGGGACTAGGATTGTGTGTGTTATTTTGTTTGTGTCGTTTTGTGTGTGTGTGTGTGTGTGTGTGTGTGTTTTAATTTTTATGTTCTTAGAGTGGTGAACGCGTGGTATGTGGGAAGCATCCTAGTCGACCGACGACGGGTCGCGCTTGGGACCTCAACCCCCCAAGGCGTCGGTTCGCGTGCGGGTCCGATAGATGCGTAAAACCGCGCGTACCCCCTATGCTATAGCGAACGAGAAACGCCCTCGACTGGTCTACCTCTGCGATTGCTGCTGATTAGCTTTCGTACTGTGGACTGGTAATTCGGCGGGGATACGCCTAGTGAAGGGAGGTGACAACTCCCGTAAGGTGGAGGTAAATCGTGCCTCGTGTAGGCCCTATCCTGTCATAGGGGTTCGCGAGAGGTATGGCTGGCGCACTCGGCCGAAGCGGCTTGCGGAAGCTCCATGTATATATCGCGATGAGGATCAGACCGACTCCTGCGTGACGCGGCCGCGAGGGTCCCGCCTCGTTTCGTGCGGTGCCGGACCGATGCGCTCGATAGTGCATTGCGCATCTCGATGCGCCATACACTATGCGTGGTTTACACATGCGCATGCGCCAGCGCGCGAGCACGTGCGGGCCATGCCTAGGGGTGGTGCACCAGATGCGCCGCCTTGCTTTTTTTTAAATGTATTTTCTTTATTCCAACTGTATATTGCCCGTTGACTGGCCAAAATCAGACCTTTGCAAGTTCGCATGTTCGCCCAGGACCCCCACCCATTTTAGATTTGAATCAGTTGGGCAACTCTCTCTCTCTCTCTCTCTCTTTCTCTCTCACACACACACACACACACACACACACACACACACACACACACACACAAGCAAACAAGTTAAACAAACTCACAGATTTCAACAAACGAAATTGAAATGTGAATGGACTCGGCATTATGGAATTTCTACAAACAGAGGGGCGAAATGCAAAATTTGGAGGTTGCCAGTACATATCTGCAGGTGGCATGAACAACCCGGTGGACACACAGTGAAGTAGTGTACACATGGAACAACAGACTCACGGCAAATAACAGGCATACACATGTTGCACCACACCATCATGAGATCACCGAACACTAGCCCATAAAAAGTAGACGATATGTGCAAAACTGCAAGTGAACAACAACATATTAACATAGGGATCACTTTGCAACTTCACAACTATGTTCACAGGTGCGAAAATTCACAAGTTCATATGAGCCATTTACAAATTATGATTTAAATATCAGATTGTTAGGAGACAACTCTGACACTCTCTCCTACTTCCCCTCCTCGCTGTCTCCTTCCCCTTCATCAGCAGACGGCCCCACACTTTCGTCTCAACCCTCCCCCGCGTCGTCCATGTCTTGTTCATCGTGTTTCATGGACTCTGCCCCACTCCCGCTCACATCCTCATTCTCCGACGACAATGAAGAGGATGCCAAAGAAGGTGCTGCTTTTGCCTCATTGTCGGTTGCTGCTGCATCAACATTAACTGCTGCCGCTGCATCATCGCCGCTTTTGTCATCGTCGATGACATTTTGTGTGTCTTTTTCTTCCTTCTTTTGGCAGTCGAACTTCTCGCTGCTTCTGCTGCAGCAGCTGCCTTTGCAACTTTCGTTTCCGCTTTCTTGGCTTTCCTTTCTGCCTGCTCTGCATTCGATGGTCGGCCCCTCTTGTGTTTCGGCTCTGCTTCTTTCGTGCCTTTCCCCTTCATTAGCGGACCCACCTCCTCCACGTCGTCCAGTTGTGCTCTCTTTTTCCACGTTTTCTGTTGTTGGATGCGTTTCACGCATCATGCACCCACGTCCCAGTTGCTCGTGCCTTCAACACCCATTCCCGTTCCTCCTCTTTGTACAACACCGAGGGCAATGGCTATGAATGGCCAGATTTCCTCCGCAGCTCCTGTTCCCGGTGTTGGCAAGGCTTTGTGCACTCGTGCCAACCCTTTTTTGGGAACCCAACGAGGGCTATGTCCTCCGCCTCACACTCTTTGTCATCCCACTTGTCATTGCGCTGCCAAGTTCGCATAAGTGGCTCCCCTCCATCCTCTTCTCCCACCTCCATGTCATCAGGCATGTCCGCTGAGTCGTCACCGTTGGACACCGCCAAAGCCACCCACATATTGTACCACTCCTCAACCTCCGCCTCCACCGGCCGGTCATCCTCCCAAGGGATGTGGACCTCCTCCTTGGCGCCACGAGTGTGGCCCCGGATCAACTGGGTGTTTGCATTGTTGAACACGAGCTTCGATAGTCCCTCCGGCATAAGCTCCGTGCGTCGTCTTCCAAAAATGAGCTCATGCAAGCTCCAATTTCACTCACATGTAGTGGACGAGCTTGCTTGGCCAAGCAACCTCACTGCTTGCGGTTGGAGAATGTCCAACCTCCCCCCAAAGGCTTCCCACCACCACGCTGCCGGTTTCATGTGCGCCACTTCCGCTGCCTCTTGCGATTGGAATGTCCCCTCGAGTTTGGTCCACTTATCGACTTGCCTGCTTAGTTCTTTTAGGACGACGTTGGCTTTCGACGCCTACGCGTAGAGCCGAATGTTGAACCCCGCACGAACCTCCCGATCCCACTGTGACAGTGCACTGTGTCGGTACTCTGGGTCAAGGAAGGCAGCTGCACAGTGCAGCTCGCTCGTCAAGAAGGACCACCGATGCATCAGAATGTCGTCAATGTCTGCCTTCTCAGTCGGGGTCAAACAGTCGAGGCCATGCATTATCTCGACGAGCTCATCCGTCTTAAAGTAGACCTTCGACATTGTCGAACCTGGCCCATCAACCAGGCGCGACAGCTCCACAACAGGAAACATCACTGCGAGGGCCTTGTCAATATTGTCCCAAAAACCTTCCCTGAGAAAGGAGGATGGAGGAGGAGGGAGTACCAAGTGGAAACATGGAGGATGGGAGGGGTGGATTAGCCGCGAGGATCATTAAAAAAAAAAAAAAAAAAAAGGAATGACGAAGGAGGGAGAAAGGAGGAAGAAAGGAGGAGGGAGAAATGGAGGGAGGAGGAGGGAAAGATGGAGTGAGAAAGTGAGAGGGAGAGATGGAGGAAGAAGAAGGGAGGAAGGAGAAGGGAGGAAGGAGAAGGGAGAAAGGAGGATGGAGGAGGGAGTACCGAGTGCACGATGAAGTGTTCATGCACATCGATCTCCACACAAGGTGAGAGTATGACAGATGACAACAGAAGGAGGGAGAATAGACCAGATGACAACAATATCCGAGCACAGGTGCGGATCGCTTAACAAAAAGAATGAGTGACAAAACCACGATGCATGGCAGCAGGACCCGACGCCGCGTTTCGACCGGTCGCCAGCCGGTCTTCGTCAGGGTTCAGAAACCTGGCTTCAGATCGCAAGACCAACAACTCTCCAGCTATATATAGTAGTACTTCTATCCTAACGCACAACTATTCGATGAATCCAGACTTAACCGACGTACCTTCAAAAAGAAGAAAAGTAAAGGGCCTATACCCCAAAAAAGCAATTCTCAACCCCTACGGCCTTCCTTCAGATCTTGAAAAGGGCCCGAACCGATGGGCTTGTGTGGCCCAACTACAGCCCTTCCAATTTGTAAAGCATCTCACCCATTCTTTCCACAACCCATCAAATGTATTGGAAAAATTACCCAATGCTTGGTCGAAATATTGATCTGGAAAGTTACGAACTCTAAGTTCTACCTTCAATGTCAATAAAAAACACGCTTCTGCACCTGGCATATTGTTCCTGCTTCTTGCCCTGTGTAGAAAGGAAACAATGACGACCATCTTTTGTTGTTTCAAAGAATAAGACTCGAAGTCTTGCAGACTCTGGAAGACTACCCCTTTGTCCAGTATGTGTCTTTGATTCTTATGAGTGACTGCACATAGGATCTTCGCTGGATTATGAAAAACTTTAACCACGCAGCCCAAATAGTCCCATACGTCATCTTCGCTAGTTCTTTCTAGTGTTAATTTGTCATCGTAACATCCACTGAAGCGAGCTATCTTCTCATGCGCACACCACTTGGATATCATTGAACGCTTATCGTACTTCATAAAAACGAACACATCATCGATTAGTCTAACTCCTGTAAACATCCTATCCTTCTCGCCCAACGACTTGATAAAGCAGTACTCATTGTGAATACATAACAGACAAGCTAAAGTCGGACTGGCAGGTTTCCCCATTGGGATCCCCAATACATGTTGTAACACCACCCCCATACACATTGTGAATGTATTGGCCAGATCGAATACTACAATACTAATTAGTTTCGAGACCTTCAGGGCACACCAACCTTCAGGAGCCTTGTTGGCTTTAGACAGTCTTGCTCCCTTCCCCTTCGTCTGACCAAAACGCGGTCGACCCCTTTCTTTTCGAACCAGGGAACAAGCCATTCAACGGCACAGATGATCGATTCATGGGGAAGATTCGAAAACATTTCTTTCACGTCGAAACTTGCGACAATCACTTCTTCTTGCGGACCAATAGAGAGATTGAAATTTGAAAGGTGTTGAAGCCTTGAAGGAGATTGTTGGTAAACTTCATATTAAAATTACTATTGGCAGGAAGAGACCATAACAAGAAATTGATACCTTTAGAGATTAGTTTACTTAAACGCGACAAAGGATCAGACGACGATGGACAGATAGGTCTCCATCTCTCGATATCTTTGTGTTTGGGCATAGCATAGGTTTTTCCTAATTCGCTCTTGTAATCCCATCTTACGATCTTCTGAAATTTATTACGAAAATATTATGCCTTAATGTTATCGATAACGGATTTCTCTCCTTGTTCAATCGTCAAAAACCCATCGTTTCCTAAAAACAGTTTGTGCAGCCCGGTACGGTAAACCTCAGGACAATAGACAAGGGAATCTTCGGGATTATGGTCAATAGCACAGACCACCAATCCCTCTAGCTTAGCACTCCATTGTTTGACGACGTTGAGGCCAGAGTTGAGGAATCTATCCTGCACCTGCTGTCGTAAGAAGCATTTCTTCAGATCTGTACTGGAGATATTAAAGTGAGTAGTATCGTTTTGGACCAAGCATAGAGAACGGCGGACCGAGTTGGAAAGGATATTGATATCAGAACGTAGATTAGGATAAGGTATATTACGAGAATTTTTGGGGATTGGATGGATATCGAGGGATGATAGTCGGTAGACAACATGACCTTTGGTATTACGAGTAAACAGCGAGGGAGAATTCAAACATGAACAAGACAGACAGTCATTGCTAGCGACTTTCCTAAAGTTGTGAATGTAATCAGTCACTGACTTGTTTTTGGGATAAACCACCTTCAGTCTCCTACATATGATCTCCTTAAGTGGTTTCCTTATGGAAGAATTCCGCACTGCACGAACACAAAACTTCCGAAATCTTGACTTTGAGAGACTAACATCAAAAGGAACTCTGGCAATTGGTTTGACTCTGATACTGAACTTATACTTCGTTTGGAACACTCTGGAAATTACGCACCATAGCGTAGTCCTACTGTCCTTCTTTGAAAAGGCATGAATAGCAGAATATGCATTCAACAATTCATCAAAACTCTGCAGATACCACTTCTTTCGAGTAGCAGGCTGAGAAAGTAACGGAACTAAGGCTTGCTTCCTACTCAGAAAACGTGAACAAAAACAACTGAGTCAAGTTAGTAAACTGCAATATCCTACCTGGTACCAACGATGCTCTAGCAACCTTCAACACACAAGTTTCGTGCTCGGACTTGACCGTCATAGATCCGTATTTACGTTTCAGAACCTTCCATCTGTCGCAAAGGTCATTACCCCCAGTACATCGCAATGAAAACGATGACAAATGCTTATCAAAAGCTTCATCCAAGATCTTGCCGAGCATAACTGATGACGTGCCAAATGACGAATGAAAATTCACAAGTGCAGTATGACTACGACTGCCACTATCTATATCTCTGCATGCCCTTAAACGAGCGGCCTTCTTATTACGCTCCTTACACCATGGTTCCTATTACCGTTAGTCCTAGTCTGACCTGGATTATTTAAAAAAGGCGAAAAAGTACGAATGAAATATTTATCAACATCCAACAAATCTTCAGCGGACGGGTGAGTGATTGGCAAGGCTACGTAACTCTCAACCCCGTATCTCCTTAACCATCGATACAATCTGTGGTTCCGAATATTCCCTTCCCTTCCCTTATATTGTGTCCGCTGTATGTGTTCTTTCCATCGTACATCTAATGATCATGAACTACATCCTATGTAGGTATGCTTGGACCAAGGAGAGATAAGAACGTAAACCAAAGGACCGGGACAAGATCCGAAGTCGTACCGAGATCGAGCAAGCGCAAAAATAAACGGAGCGAACTTGTTGCCCCAAGTTAAAGCAGAGAACAGAATCAGAAGAATAACATAACATCGGAAGAGTGAGTTGAGACTGGGTAAACGCAACTTATCACCACATCTTCTCAAAACCCGTATGGTGTTGAGGTAGGAAAAAATAGCACTGGCGCCCGGAACCGGTCTTATGGAGATTCTTCAGTTGCCGTTTCATCAGTGGAAGTGCCAGCCGCATCAGCATAAACACCATCTCCCGTGTCTTCCTCCTCCTGGTCCTGATCTTCATCGTCGCCGACTAACTTCCTTTTGACCGTACGTTCGTAAACCCTTGTTGCATAGATATCAGCTAGCCCTCCTGCTGTCTTCTTCACACCGCCGTATTCGATTCCTTCTTCCTTACAAAGTTCCTCCAATGATACAATTAATCCGCTCCTTTAGAGCCGAGATCTCTCGCTCCGCCATGTCTTTCAAGTCGCGAACCTGTCGGTAAGCCTTAGTGAGCTTAGCCCAATCGGCCGGGGTTCGACAACCTTCGCCTTGCTTTGACTTTCCTCGGGCTGGTTCCACCGGAGGGCTTTTCTCCGTGATCGCTTCCGAGCCGCGCTTACTCCCCCGCTTCAGCTGTTCCATCTCGTTCTTCAGCGACAATAAGTCATGCACGATCGCTTGATTATCCGCCTTGAGGGAATCCAATTCCCTATTAGTTCTCCCCGAAGCCTGCTTGATCAGCTCTTCATTCTCTCGTTTTGGCGATCGACCTCCTCCTCGATTCTCTGTCTTTCAATCTGTTCCCTCGCAGCGGCATCCTCTTTTCGCCATCGATTCTCCCATTCCCTGCTCTGAGCTTCACTGCTGATGCCCACAGTCGTACCTTGATTGGAGCCTGCTTTCTTCCCCAACACCTGATCACAAACTTCTTTCATATTGTCTTTAACCATTCTCCCAATGGATCGTTCAAAATCCTCCCTCTCCTTCTTCGCTTTGCTTCGTTCTTCCTCCACTTGCTGTAACTTCTTTAGCTCTTCCTCCTCCCTCAATTTTTGTTCCCTCGCTTGCTTCTCTCTCTCTTTATTATCCATCTCCTCGGAGTACCAACTCCAAACTCTGTTAAATTTGTCTTCCTTTTCTCTCTCCCGATTCTCAGCCCACCAACCATTATGCGTTATTCCATATCCTTGATTAGAACCGGTCCGGGTAGCTTCCCGTCGACCACCGTTCGCCGCCGGCGCTCTGTATGGAACAATCGCGTTCGGAGCGGGCAGCAGCCCGTCAATATCCTGAGGCGCCGGTTCTCGATTCGCATCACCTCTATTGCCGCCTAACAAAGCGGCGACATTCGGGATCTGCCGAAGCTGGCAGTCCCTAATGAAATGCCCGGGTTGCTTGCAATGATGGCATACCTGGGGGGCTCCGTGATTCATACCGACTGACTAGATCGACAGCGGAAAGAGAATAGACGAAGAAAGTATATGGGAAGAACGTGAGGAGACGATGATACCCAAACGGGTAAGTGACCAGTAACAGTTCAACTGCTATGTACGGCAAGAGGACACTGATCATCGCAATCATTCGAAACGTAGAACACTGCTACGACGGTTATTGCGTATAATGAAGCACGATGAAGTGTTCATGCACATTGATCTCCACACAAGGTGAGAGTATGACAGGTGATGACAAAAGGAGGGAGAATAGACCAGACAACAACAATATCCGAGCACAGGTGCGCATCGCTTAACAAAAAGAATAAGTGACAAAACCACGATGCATGGCGGCGCGACCCGACGCTGCGTTTCAACCGGTCGCCGGCTGGTCTTCGTCAGGGGTCAGAAACCTGGCTTCAGATGGTGAGACCAACAACTCTCCAACCATATATATTACACCTTCTATCCTAACGCACAACTATTCAATGAATCCAGACTTAACCAACGTACCTTCAAAAAGAAGAAAAGTCAAGGGCCTATACCCGGAAAAAGCAATCCTCAACCCCTATGGCCTTCCTTCATCTTGAAAAGGGCCCGAACCGATGGGCTTGTCTGACCCAACTACAGCCCTTCCAATTCGTACCGCGTGGACACGTGGAGGATGGGATGGGTGGATTAGCCGCGCGGATCATTAAAAAAAAAAAGAAAGGAGTGACGAAGGAGGAAGAAAGGAGGAGGGAGAAATGGAGGGAAGAAGAGGGAAAGATGGACTGAGAGAAAGTGAGAGAGGAGGAGGGTGAGATGGAGGAAGAAGAAGGGAGGAAGGAGAAGGGAGGACGGAGAAGGGAGAAAGGAGGATGGAGAAGGAGGGAGTACCGAGTGGACAGGTGGACGATGGGAGGGTGGATTAGTCGCGCGGATCATTAAGGAAAAAAAAAAAAAAAAAGAGAGAGAGAGGAAGGAGGGAGAAAGGGAGAGAGAGAGCCACGATCGGGAAGAGAGATAGAGAGCCACA